TATCCTGTAATAGCTACTCCAGAACAGCTATTGCACCGCTGATCCTCAGGTTTGTGCTCTTCTCCCACAGTCAGTGCCTTTTTAGTTCATCTTAGTGGTGTCTTAAGCTAAACTGAAAATAAAACTCCAAATACAGGAGCACCTATACAAGATGATAGTCTAGAACAGCTTTCACATTTTAAGTTCAGGCTCCAGTTCTTTTCAGAGTTTTTACCTAATATAAGAAACTGGATTAAAATATTCTTAAATAAATGAAATAGAAATGAATTAGATTTAATGGAAACTTCTGCCTAAAATGGTAAGCTAAGCAAGTGCCAGGAAGAGAGTCAGCTTGAGCCTGGTTCTAACTTGTAGCTCACATTCCCACCTGTAGATGGGGAATTTTTACTTTTTCTTTAAGAAAAAAATGGTCCCTGATTTGATCAGTACTTATAGCAACAATTTAAGCAGCATCTCAGTGTAGCTAAAATTTTGTAACAGAACACTTAAAATAGATGTGAAATGCCTATCAGTTAGCACTGCATACGACATAAAATAATTGCACTAGACAAGCATGCAACAGCCAGTTTCTAACTCAGATTAGAGCTTTCTAGTGGTACTATGATATTTCTATTTTCAGTGTTAGCAGCTCCATTAGATATTCCATTATAAAGACTTAACTTCCTTGCTACATTGCTCAGATTGACAGTTTTGATGTGAAAATAGCAAACATACTAAATGAAGTAATGAAGTACTTTTTTTCATTAAATTACGCACCTTTGCTTTTAAGATTAGAATGGCTGATCTTCCTTTCTTATGTTTTTGTCATATCTGTCCTTTATATCTACCTGATTACGCATTTAAGTCAAATTTCTTCAGCAAATCTGAAAAATCATGTAACAAGAGTTCAGCACTTTACCTCCAATTTGCCATGTGCACAACCTAATAGCAATAGGTTGGCTCTATCCCTCTCACAGGAAATAGGAGACCAAGGCCATGCTCCATCACTAGTTGCTGACCACCAGCAAATGACCGTATCTTGCACAGAGTTTATTGCCAGGTGACGTTTCATCCTTCTACCTTCTGGTCCAAATGTATCAATATAAGAAACCTGATGGAAGAAAAAATGCAGGAAATATTTGAGGTGATAAAATAACATAGTAGGCTCAATTGGGAGCATTTAGTTTGGATGTGTGGAAAAGAATGTATATATATACAGAGGGCTGCATACATATATCTTCATATAGGCTGTCTGTAAATGTAAAAAATATCCCTTCAGACAGAAAAAGACATGCTCACATTTTTATCTGTGGGGAGGGGATTGGGAAGGAAAGGAATGTGAGTTAAGAAGGAATTTACTGCAATGACTCCAATCAATACCAAAATGTACAGTCATGGTTGCTTGACAGCATCGACCTACACACAGGATTTAAGCTTAGCCATATTAAATGACAAGTTCTGCAAAGCTGACCAGGGAGCTAAGGCTAGTGTTTAAGACATAATCAAATATTAAATATATTCTACAGTATTTGAGCAAACATATATCTTTCTTTTTCCTCCCTAAATTAAGGAATCCGGATACAAACATCGGCTTTGCAAGAGAATATATACTTTTCTGCATAATGTGGATGAGCTACAGCATCATGCGTAAAGTTTATGCAGCTCTTGAGAATTGTGCCTCTTTCTCAGGAAGGATTTGTGGAATTTATTATTCAAACTCTGTTATTTTGGAGCATGGTTATTTGAAAACATGAGCAGTGCACCATCTGGGTGACACATGCCAAGGAAATATAGATTGCACTGCATTTCTGCTTAAGGAATTAATGGAAGGTTGATAGCTAGGGGAAAAAAAACTATCTTGCCATTGCTGGTCAGCAATAATCGAACCACTTTCTGGGGATTAAGCGCATGGCTAAGCCTACTGGACCAGACACTAGCAAAGGGCAGGGGGTCTTCTTATCAGAGAAATGCTTCTGGAGCCAGTCTCACTACATGACAGATTGCTTTCATATTCCTGTCTGCAAGGCAACAAAGGATGGCAGTAATGCGATAATGCCAGAGTGCAATGGGTGTTAAGAACCCGTTGCATTTATGTATTGTATTTAGTAAATAATCAGGCTCATCCAAATTGTGATCTCACCACTCAACCAAGGCCATTAAAATCAAGGTTAATGCTTTAATAATCCTTTGCTGTTTTTTATATGGTCAAAAAGAACCCTTTTCTATTTGCATGGTCATAATATTATTGACCTCTTCATCCCCTGAATACACATCAAAAGGAACTGAAATCAAAGTAATTACCAATGTTGTTCTCTCATGGTAAACATTTAACTCCTTGTACTGTCTCATCCTTCAGTAAATTGAAATGGATTAAAAAACCACAGATGGAAAAAACTTGCAAAAGGTCAATATTACCAGAATAGCCTGTGGTTTACTTGTCAAAATACATAGAATTGTAAAGATAAAACATACATCAAAGTTAACAGGTAGCTGATATTTGAATTAAAACTATATATAAATACTTGATTTGGTGACAACATGCATTTATTAGGGTGGAAAACCACAAAATCTTTCACAGATATTAACAAGTCCTGTATTGCAGTGTTAATTGCTCATAACAATTTCACATGTAACAACAGCCAAAAATCTTTCATAAACCTTCATGTCTTGCATTAGACATGGCACTTTCAAACATGGACTAATGCCACTGAGAAAAGGCAAATAATAACAGTTGTTTTTATATTTTGCTGGTCTTCAAGACTGTTGTTATTCTAAGTCTTCCTCTATTTTTTCAAGGTGTAAATAAAATCCAAGGTGGTATCACTTAGAAAGGACAAGGATGGAGAAAATAATTCTTTCATTTAGGTATGTATTATGTAAAAAAAACCCCCCAGCTTTTGGATAAACATCAAACTGTGAGGAGGAAAGCATGGTTGACTTGTTCGTATTATTAATAGCGCTCTGGCAGTCCAGTACTGCCTGGCGTTCCTTGCCAATTTAGTCCACTATGAGGCTGGACACTGAACAATGTGGTGTTGCTTCTGTGCAGGTATCAAAGAAATTAGAATGTTATATGACAGAAATTTAATCATATCATTACATATGATTGTAAGCAAGCATTCTCCTCATTTTAGAAATGGGAATTTAAACCCAAATACTGCGTACATTCTCAGGGTTACACCAAAAGTCAGAGGCAGAAATGAAGGCTACACTCAAATTTCCTGAATCTCAGCTCCAGATTTTAATCCTGTGGCAGTTCTATACCAATGCAAGTTAGCTTTTAATTAAATTTCTCTTGGAAAAAAAAACCAAAACCACTAAGGAACTGTTTTTTTCCTAATGCATGCAGTTACAAGTTTGCACATTTGCTACTGGGGACCATCTTTTGCTTCTTTTGTTACTATTGATAACAACACCAGTGTTGACTGCGTCTGCTCTTTTAGCTTACAAGTTTGACCAAAATCAGCCATGAAGAACTCCAACGCAGAGAGCTGACATACTATTATTGCAGTAGTGAATAATAGTTCCTGCTGGCACACACTGGTGCAATTCTGAAGATAATAAAAATTATATTTAGCTGCCTAACCAACAAGCCTCACACAAAAGAACATTCAATTAAAAAATGCAAATGCCTTTTTTTGGCTGGCAAAGAAATAATCCATAGTGATTCCCACTGATTTCAAGAGAAAGCAAAGTTAACACTGAACATGGAGGCATTTTGAGAAGCTCAGCTGTGTCAGCAAAGAACTGAACATAACAACCCTATTAAGGAGTGCGGCAGATATTTCTGGTTTCCTGGAGCAGAAGTTTTCTATGGATTAGGCTTTCCTTATTTCCCAAGCAAAAAATGCCATAACCATAGATCCAAAATGCCCAGCAATGCTCAGAAGGAAAATACATTTTCTTAGAAAAAGAATTTTCCTACAAAACTTAAGAAGCTATGGCCCTCACAGTTAAATGATGAAGGCAGTTTCCAGCTCACCACAGCTTCTTCACTGAAGTTTCGTGCTATCAAAAAACCAACCCACACCACAGACCATACTTGCTTATAAAGCACAACCTTAACAAACACCATAGACCAGGCGCAAGTGCACATCATTTTAAAGTAAACTACGTATCAGCTCAGTTCCTGGTGAACAGTGAACTGTCTCAAATCCACGTTATAGAGGTTGGATCAATCTAGCAAACACAAGTCATTGCTGAAAAGAGGCCCTGAACTGAAACAGCCTGGAAAAATGTATTAGATATTCATCCTAGCAGAAAGTATTTCTACCAAGCAAGTTAAAACGTATTATGGCAAAACTTAAATTAAACACATCCTTAAAAAGCCTGCCTTGCAGATGCAAACTCCCTTATGTAAGGAAGCAAATTACTGAGGGGTTGTCAAGGGAAATATATTTGCTATTTGCTAGCACAAGATTGTTTTCTTTAACATTTATCCAGTCTGAAATAAATAGAAACTTTCTCTTTAGCTCACTACATCTTTCTACCTGTCTTGGGTGAAGGCTTGCCTCTGCTTCATTCTTGCAGCGAATTGGATGCAACTCCTTTCACACTCTGCCTGTTCAAAGTTAATTGCCTTTGGCCGATTATTTTTTCATATTTTCATATTTTTCGTATTTCATAGTGCCAAGCAATTCCACCTAAGGTCAGCCACTGCCCTGATGCCAAAGAGGTTATGGTCGAAATAAGTTATGTCTACACAGCCCGAACCATCCAAGACACAGTGTAATTCAGCTTGAGATGAGCTGGTTGTACTGAGAGCCAAACTAGCTAGTTTAAAGGCAGCTCAGCTATCTCTAGAGTGTTTTTCAGCTACTGCTGTGACTGACACACCCATACATAAAGGGCTGGAAAAAAGGAGTATTTTAATCTTCACTGTGTAAGTAGTGAATTGAGGTACAGAGGCACCCAGTCACTTGCCTAAGGTCACATACATAGTTTGTCAGTGGTGAGAAAGTCAGCTTCTGTATCTTCTTCAGTGGCTTAATTGTAAAACCAACTCTCACAACAATACGATTACTGTAACTAGAGGGAAAATTAAGATTTCTGCAAAGAATTACAACAGTCTTGGAGCTCATACAGATGACTGAATTATCATAGCTTCATGAGTTTGTGTATATCAGCTGAGCCATAGTAATTGACCATGCATGTGTTTTTAGCCCACAGCAAACAAGAGGTAAAACACATTAGCTTAAATCTTTTACACTGAGGTTTACCATTACAGATTTTGCTTCATGCTTGTTAGATGCTGAGAATGTGCAAAAGGTCAGTTACTGCTGCTCAACTGACACAAGGTAATCTGTTAAGCAGGGCTAACTCAATGGTGTGTCTGAGCCCTTAACCTAAATACAGTAGAAAATTGGATCCCTCTTGGCACAGTATTTTAACTCATTAACTCCGAATGCCATGTAATTTTTTTTGACTTTTCAATACCTGCCATTTTTAGAATTTAAGCTGTTCTGGTCAGTTACAGGAAGGTTTGTGATTGTAAAGTTACTGCAGTATTTACAGTCACCACTGACAGCAATACCTTGAAGTCCAAACAAGAGAGCTTTTCCAGTCTTTTGTTTACATCCGATGAATCCATTTTCTTTGTAAACTGAATAAAACAGAGCTGGTTATGGTCCTCAAACGACAAGATGATGAAACTGTCTGTAAGAACCGCTGAAAAACAAATAAAAATTGTCACCACTGTCATACCTGTTTCTAGTAACAAAACAAATTACCAAACCCTCCACTGAGACATTGCAAAAAGCAATTTTTTCAAGACAGTGTCTTAAATATTACACTGAAGCCTTTGTAATCTCCTAAAAGACATCAATGTGTCATCCTGCCAGGACCTTCTTGGAAATGAGAAATAAAGCCTAGGGAGTACTCCGATTACATCAAAATGAATAAATTATCTCATATCAAGTTACCACTACATTCAAATATACGTTTTATGCCCTTCCGCATTAATTTTCATCTTGGTTCAGCTTTCAATGTTCGGGTGGTTTTTTTATTCTTCTTTTGGTAACACCCACCAGTATGTCAGAAATGCACCATACAGAGCATAACTTCTGTTAAAGATGATAAATGCAAATTAGTACTTGAGGTGTATCTCGTATTTTGACATCATAAGGTTCCAGGTGCTGCTGCAGACACCAAAGAGGCTGTTACATACAGGATTACAGGATTATGCTTCAGAAGGGTTATGAATTTGCTGAAAGCCTCACATGGAGGTATCCAAACAATGCAGGAAACCAAGATGGAACAGACTCCCTTGGAGTGTGGAAAAGTGCAGTGGAATCCCTGCTGTTCAGAAGGGGATGCTACACCAAAATAGTTCAATATAAAAGAGATTAACTAATTTGACAATGAAAATTAATTAGACAATATTATCTAGGATTTTTTCCCAAGTGTTATCCAGTCATTCAAGCAGTATTATGCCTGCATTTAATGCAAGCAATATCAGGCCTGCATTTAGAGATGTCTGAGAATGAAGTGAGTCATCAGGGCTACCAGCACTAGGTCGTTGAAGAATTATTAATGAGAATCAGGTTTAAGTACAGCTAGCAAGCTGGTAAACTGAGAAACCTCCCCTGAAAGCAAAATGTCAAGTAAGTGGAAACAGATTTAAAAACAACCACCACTGCAAAACAAACACAAAAGCATTTGTGATTAATATCCTAGATTCTTGAATGTATTTTACATATCCTTGAGTAGATTGACAGTTTAGTCTTACATACAGGCATTGAAAACTTGCTACTCAGCTTTGCTTTGATTTCGGCTGATTTACAACCAGTTGCAATTTCTAACAGTCATGTACTGGCACAGCTCTGAAGATTCTGGTATGCAAATGCTAAAGGGTAAAGTTTAATGTCAAATAATTACCTTTGAAATGTAACATTAACACTAGCATAAAAAATTAAAGAAAGAATAAAAGAAATTGTGGTAAAGTATCTGAGATAGTGAGTTAGAAGCTATAACTGAGATCCTAAACACACATGAAAATCCAAAGCCACCAAATATGGTATCCTCAATACTTACAGTTAAAATATTTTGATATCCTCACAGAAATAGTTTACATTAAAGATGACCTACAGCACACCTCAGCTGCTTCTGAAATTTGTTTTGGTTGAAAGGAAGAAAGCGGGATTCAAAGATCCCTGGGCAGGTGTGAATGAGACTAGCAGTGCCTTGATTTTCAGTATCCGTGGTTGTCCTGGGCAGGAGTGGAGACTAGATAGACATGAATAGAGCTATGGGCATAGTTAGACCATTATTCAGAGAGGACCCATATACTGCCGTCAGGTTACCCTAAAAAGGCAGGCAGTGTAGTTAACATTTTAAATACTAGTACTGCAGGACCTCAGTGCCACAAAACAATTCAGAAAATGAGAAATACTGTTTCTTTTAGGACAGCAATTTTTTCTAGAATTTCTAATTAAATTATTTTTTTAATTTAGCCCATAAATAATAAAAATTAGGATGACTTTATTAGAGACAGGAGGATTATAAATGAAACCTCAATTCTGTATTTTGTACACACACTCTGACCTTTATTCCAAATGTAAAGAGGACATGCTACTCGAGTTAGAATTACATGTCATAAGTGATTTTGGCAGATTGTAATCCCTACCCATTTCAACGTATACACACTTACTAAAATAAGAACTACTATTTTTAAGCAGACATTTTGTATTAAATATTGAATTTATTTTAGCCAACTTTATAATCACAACCCTAATTCCAACATAAATTTGGAAAGATGTGCAATTATGTTCGATTAAAGTTAATTTATTTGAGGACCACATTTTGTTGTAGTTCCCACATAAGCATAGTTCAGTTTAAAAATCTGTATTTTGAGCACTATTTGCATGGGTGACAAAAGTATCTTCTTTTATTGTTCATGAAAAGAAAAAATATATTGCAATGACTGTTGTTGGGGGTTTTGCCTTTACTGAACAGAAGCAGTTCTATTTCACCTTGGGTATTACCAAGGTATTTTACTTTGGGTATTACCAAACAGAGAGAGCTTATTCATAATTTAAGAAATTACTGAATAAGTGAAAATAAAGATAAACCATTCTGTAATGTTATTTATAGAAATTTGAGTGGTATAACTGTAGGAAAGCATATTTGTTGCTTTATAATTGTTTTAGTTGAAAGCTTTCTTAGCATTTTTTTTAATATTTGTGTTTTTATGACACATTAAGCCAACGTAAGTCAAAAGAAGTATAATTTAATTATGTATTATTTATTATTTCTTTAAAAAGAGTATTCTAAGCTCTACAAACAACTTCAATTTGGGTATAATCTTAGCTTCCATGCTTTCCTACATTTTGTCACCTGGAAGTATGAAATCCTCCCTCTGGAAACAGAGGGCAGAAAATCTGAGATGGAATTAATAGTCTAGTAATTTAGGTGAAGAGTGAAAAACAGGAATTGAGACATCGAATGTGTTCTATGCTATTAGTTGATAAAAAAAAAAGATGTTAGGGTTAAATTTTTGTTAATAAAGATTCTACTAAAATTGTTATATTAAAGTTAATTTTCAAGACTACAAAACATTGATAACATCAGAGGGACACAGTATTGCAGGTTTCTTAAATAACCAGACCCACATTCAATAGATGCCTGAAGAAAGTAAATTATAAAAGATCAAAGTTAAGATAGCATATATTCTTATTAAAAGCATGTAATTTGTGTTTATTTGTTAAGAATTTGGAAGATAATGCCCACATAATTTGGCTGTCATTGAAATTCCATATTCTGGATCATGCATTGCCAAGATACCTGGTTTAATTCTCAGTGGAGCCCTGTAGAGACGCACTGAAAAAGCTACACTCATATTATTAAGCTGTTGAAAAAAGGTACATTTTCATAAGTTTTCTTCTGCCCTAAACTAAAACTTTATTTTTAGCAGTCACTAGTTAATAACAATACTGAGATTCTGGAAATCCATAAACTAAATCAGAACACCTCCATACAACTAATGTTATCCAGCCTTTTTTAGTAATTAAATACCTTAATAATAACTATCCATGGTTAATCTTGGCTAATGTTTGGTTCTGTCCCATTTTCCCACTTATGGAATAAGCATGACAAGTTCAAATGGCATGTTCACAGTGATTAAAATGTGTAAGAAACTGAATTTTAGAAACTCATTCAGTATTTGACAAGCCTAAAACTTTGATGTTAAATATTATTCTTAAAGTGCTTTTAGTCCTGAGGCTTGTAACTATGGCATTACATGCAATTACTTGTTGTGTTTGCAAGTCCCCAGTGGCAATAATTAGTCTACCTGTTGACATACTGTTTTTCTACTCTATTGTTAATGTAGGCAATTGATTTGCACGCGGCTGTAATTACCATCACTGATGGTGTTGGAGATGAGCTTCCCCACCAGGGTCCTGTCAATCACCACTTTCTCCAGCTGTGGCCCAGAAAGGCTTAGGGACACCAGTATACCTGAGTGAAAGAGGAGCTAAATCCAAATAGCAAGAAAACAAGACATCAAGAATCATTAATAAAGTGAAATGTTCCAAGGTACATATTAGCAGCTGTCCATTACGCAGTAATCTAATTTTCAAAATTACAAAAAAGACTTATTGTTGATGTGAAGGTGTCTTATAATGACTTTGAAAGCTTTTTCAATGAAAGAGAGAGATGTAATACAACACTGAATTATACAGGTGCAAGAATTACAACTGCTGAACACTTGAAGAAAATGCATGCTAATTCTCCAAATGTACTAAATTAGTTTGTTGAAAATGGAGATCAAAATTCTGTCTTGAAGGAGTACAGGGATGATGCTAATCCACCATCCACGAACCTGGTTTTTTCATATAAACTAACTGCACAGCCTGCATCAAAAACCATATAAAGTTTATCTTCATGGAATTTTACATTATTATCACAAATTAAAACCAGCACCTTTTTTGCTATCCTTGCTATTTCTGATCATTCATATATTGTTTAACTTAAATAATGGTGCTCTCACAGTGAAAAAAAAATAAACCCCATAGAACTCCCTGCTCTATTGTGAGTTGATCTCACTTTGCGAAGTTTCTCCAGTAGCAGGGCTATACAAAAAGCTTTATTAGAGAGATACTGTTTTCTCAATAATCTAGTTCTGTCCTGTGAAGACCGGCTGAGAGAGCTAGGGTTGTTCAGCCTGGAGAAGAGAAGGCTCTGGGGAGACCTTGTAACAGTCTTGCAAAACCAAAGGGGTCCTACAAGAAATCTGGAGAGGGACTTTTTATAAAAGCAAGAAGTGACAGGACAAGGGGGAATGGATTTAAACTGGAAGAGGGGAGACTTTAGATTAGAAGAAATTGTTCACTATGAGGGTGGGGAGGTGCTGGCACAGGTTGCAGAGAAGCTGTGGCTGCCCCATCCCTGGAATTGTTCCAGGACAGGCCAGACAGGGCTTTGAGCAACCTGGTCTAGCGGAAGGTGTCCCTGCCAATGGCAGGGAAAGGATCTTTAGGTCCTTTCCAACCCAAACCATTCTTTGATTCTATGTTTCTAACTGTAGTCAAACCTTGCTGGACTTAAAATTATCAAGTTGGAAATAAATTGTGATTTTATCTAATCTAACTTCAACATAGGTATAAATTGAAGCTTTGAAAGATTGTAATAAAAGCTGCATAAGTGTAACTGTGTCTAACATTTTTACTAGGACAAAACCTTAAAGGACATCTGACATGACAGGGAATATTGAAATACTGACTATATATGTTTATCAAACAAATGCCTAATTAGATTTTGGTGGGAATGGGGAATGACCATTTGTTCTTAAAAAAGTTATTTCCTATCACAGTTATTTTTTGTTTCTATTTCAGACACCACTAGAATTTATTTTCAAACTTCCTTTTATCTAACCTAAATGTCCCCTGTTTAAGTCTGAACCCATTACCCCTTGTCCTATTACTAATCATAATTGTCTGAAGAACCTAGTTCTTCAGTGAAAAAGTGATGGCTGAAACTCAGAGGTTGACAAACACACAAGCAATGATCAAGCAAAATTACATAAATACTCTGCAAAGATCAGTTCTAAAGTTCTGAATGAGTATCATCCTGCCAGATAAAACACCCCAAATCCTTCAGTGTTATATGCGAACAAGAGAGCTGGTGCAGTCAATGAAGAAACTCTACAACTTGTGTCTTCCACAACACCTTTGGGAACTTTCTTCTCTCAGAAAAAGCTACTGCAATGGCAGGTTGTTTCCATGTTTCCTTTCCTTGCAGGGAAAGAACAAGCTGGAGTTAATCTGGAAGAAGTCTGTAGCCTCTAAGTTTACCTGACATATACCACCCATCCAGGTAAGGAAAAGAGATGAAACACAGGAAAAAATGTGTTTTTATCTGTAGATGGTCAATGATCTTTAATGACTGAGTCATGGTATGAGGCCACAGGCTCGTCCTTCTGCTGACATCTAATCTATGTCATCCATCTATGCTGCATAGAGAGATGCTTGCAAACTCTTGGCTTGAGAGCAAGAAATAACATTAGGATTATTTAACTCTTAAATGTTTCAAGGTGTAAATTCACTTTATACCTGTATGTTCATTTCCTGGTAGTGACATAGATCACACCTGTTACACAGCTAGAATAGGAATCTGTGGAAACTGCTCCAGTGTATGATGACGACACATTTATACAAATACAAAATACTGTGGTAATGGGTGTGCTTCGTTTTAGGTCTATGAGACCAGTCATTAAACCAATGCTACGTATTTTCACTATTTCATAGATCTCTATGCTATCAGTATGGCATGACAGAATGACATAAAGCAGGTAAAAATAATATCATTTCCATGGCTTTTCTTGTTTCTCCCATTATACTCCCTCCTTCTTTATTTTTACAGTAAAACATTCTTTCCCATTATTCTCCACAGAATCTTGAGATATTTGGGCAAAACTTACATTTTTCCTGTAATAACTTATCATGGTTGTTAATACACCTGTGCTCCACAGGTCTAAGTCCTTCCATCTAGGAACTTCAGTCTAAATTTAAAAAGTAAATCAGAGACTTTACACACTGTATGGCCATGTAAGGTCAGTATTTCTTCTACCTCCCTTTAAAAATACACTGGATTATAATAGGGGCTTTTAAAAAAATAGTTCTTAAAGTTTACCATTAAGTACAAGCAGGTATTTAAATAAAGCAGGGACGTGGTTGAGTCACCCTCCCTGGAGGCATTAAAAACACCTGCAGATGCAGTGCTGAGGGACATGGTTTAGTGGTGGACTTTGTAGTGCTAGATGAACGGTTGGACTCGATGATCTTAAGGGTCTTTTCCAACCTAAATGATTCTATGATTCTGTTTTATCTTTCATCAAAAATATTCTGTAAAAGAGAAAATACGTATATGCTCAAATTGAAACATCAATATTTCAATTCCTTTCCATGTAGTCTATGCAAAGACTGTTACATAATAAGATTTAGGTGCTATTATACATAAGCTTGCATAGTTAAGCTCATATTTTGGTAGATGGGAGCAGTCCAATCATAAGCATGAATGAATATAAAGCAAATGGGGAAGACTGCAAACTTGGCTCGAACACAGATATGCAGTGATCCAACTCCAAAAAGTACTGCTCAAGGGAATTGCCCATCATTGCTAAGGAATATAAGCAAATGGAAGAGGCAGTATTTACATAAGGCACAAAATCATTTCACGTAACAGATATGAGGGAAAGAAACGTGCCATAATGAAACACATCAGAAATTTTTCAGACTGAAGCACTGCAATGTGAAAAATAGAAAGCAGAAGAGTCATCTCTACAGCTCTAACAGTCTCAAGGTGTTCCTAAACAAAACAAAACCATGATTTCATACCTATTGGAAGAACAGGCATAGGCTTTGAACTTTTACTTGTTTGAGTAATGTGTTTGGGCATCTGGTCATTCTACATGCTGGAATGGAAAGGCCACTTAATTTCTGTGTTACTGAAGAGTTGAATGTGAAGACTTTGATAGAAGGAATTATGTACTTTGTGTGCCAAAAATGGTTATCCAGTGAGCAAGAAAGACATAAGAGGAACAGAGGATACTCACAGGAAGACAGCCCTTCCCCAACAGCAAAGTGCTCCAATACATATTTCAGTTACTTTTTATTAAGCAAAGCACTTAAGTACAGGCTCATAACTGGTGGACTCCAGCAGAACTTAAGCATGTACTTAAGTGGATTCCTTTATCCTCGGAAGCCTTAGCCCTTCACTCCTCATTCATGCAGCTTAGCTGCTTATCAGCCCTTCTACCTAAAAAGATACCTGCAGAGCAAAGCCAGGATTTGCTTCTATCTGATTAAAATTGGAAAAGAATGAAAATATGCCTGTAAAAAATACTGCTGCAAACTGTTTTCCCTTACAGAGCCCAACCGACAAAGGAATATGCAAAAGAAGAGAATTGCAAAGCAATTCTTGTTCAAGCAGGTTCCCAGGGTTTTTCCCCACCTCTTCATTCCAGATTGCTTTCTTAGCCACCCTACCATAATTACTGTTGCATGCCTTATTACAGATGAAGTTATTGTTGTTACACGTTACTGTTTCACAATAATCGATGCATTTGTACTTCTAGCTCCAAATCTCTAAAACCACACATTAATGGTTGTGATCAAAAGCAACCGAAAGAATTTAATGAGGGTAGTGTTCCTCTTAGTAACTCATGATGGGTACCAGAGTCTCATGTATTCTAGCCAGAATGTCTTGATTTTGATATGAGATGTGTGACTGTGTGTCACCACACATCTTGCCAAATCAGCTTGCTTATGGGCATCATAGCTGATACAACAAGCCATGTCAGCAAATACCGGTGTGTATCTCAATGCAGAATCCAGTTCTAAGTATGCCAATGATGGTAACATAAAACCCATTCACATACATACATAAATTGCAACACAAATAAAATTTAATCCAAGTAATTCAGCAAAGAATATATAAATCTTTTTCATTAGCAGGTAACAGATATGATTCACAGCTAGTGCTTGGCTTTTATACAATAAAATAATTCAGTGTTGGCGTGTTTTTAATTCTACATCATAATGCAAATGTAGAACTACAAAAAGTTGGACACAAAATATTTTGGCTAGCTCTCATTAATTTTTACTACCTTGTATTGTAAAACCAAACCTGAACCAATGGCATCATTTCATAGTACTGATTTCATGATTTTGTGGCAAAACTTAAAAGCGTTCCAAAGTATTAGAGAAGGAGACCAAGAGGAAGGGAACCAGCCAGAGTTGAGATGAGTAAACTCAAAAATATTGATAAAAATAACTCCTTAAGTTATTACTCCTCAGCAGGGAAAGCCAAGGAGTAAATTGTTTATTTAATTATGAACAACACAGTGGCATCTTATTATAAAGACTTCTTGTCTCTTTTTCATCACGCTTCTTTTATGGTCTATTTATTTTCCTTTGACATCAAGTAACTGAAGATTACAGGATTATTTCAGCAACTCATCACAGGTCATCAAAGCTGGGATTCAGAAGTACGATACAGAAATGGTGTGCGTTCAGATCCTACTGGAACAAGCAGGAATAGAGCTAAAGAAAAGACCTCAGTCCTTTAGGGCTCAACTAAGCTCTTTTAAATAGGAGAGCAAGCTCCTTGACAAAAATCCCTGTACAGTCTAGGTTATGTTTACACGAACTGGCACACCATCTATTTTAGAAGCTCTAAGTAGTACTGGAATGTATACTTAGGATTGCAAAAATAAAGGTCAATGGATTTTCTTTTTTTTTAAATGGGCAAGGAAGTAAATGTGAAACTCCTGATGCACTGATTGTATTAAAAGTAATAGGAGAAATTCTGATGCATAAAATGAAAGGTAAAAAGCTGGGCCAGCATTACAGTAGTTCTAGGCAAACTCATACAGAAATCCAATTTTGAGAATATATTCATACAATGGACAAAATAATCTGCATGCAAACTAGCTGGAGTTTTCATTGAGGCATATGCATGAAGTGTAATTGGTCATTTGCACACAAATGGTTAAAATGACAGTACACTTATTTTTAGCAGAGGCATGTTTAAATTTATAGCCCCCAATTTTTGCCTGTGGGCTAGTTAGAAGCTGGAAGTGCTGGAGGAAGCAGTGAGGGATTAGGAAAAGTGATGTGTAGGTTCCAGAAGGCACACTACCTGCAGTCCTGTGCTTGTTTTTCACAGTCTGAGGGAAATCACACTACTCTCTTAAATTATAGTCTTGTTAACATTGTATCATCTTCCAGATTTTTTTCCATTTGTTCTGTCTTGCTAAATGTACAACAGCCATCGAGTTTTTTGATAGCACATTGTTATTACAAAGGGAACTCTTCCTGATTCAGCTAATTTTGAGGTTGTTCAGTTAAATATTTTAAATTTTATAAATTAATTTATTTGACATTGTATTGATGCTAAAAAGAAAGAGCTAAAACCCCTACTACTATAATTAAATACACTCAGATTTAGCCCAAATCACTAACAATTACAAGTCAGGGTAATTCCCTACATGCTCTCCATGCTGTTTGTCTGCTATGTTGCTTTCTAGTACACCTAAAAGTTAATGTAAATGCAGACTGTTATTTTCCCACTAGCAGCTGCTATCCATCCAAAACAGCATGCGCTATTAGTGCTATGACATAGATCACACCATTACGTGATAAACACTTATGGCTGAAACAGTCTCTCGCTTAGAACCAAACAATAAATGTACATCATTTCTAGAAGCTTCAGGACATTTGTTTCAAAAGGGAGAGTCTAGATATTTCTGCGAAATGCTCTAAGACAGATGAGCAGCAGAAAAAAAAACCCCAACCAGAAATTGAGAGAAGACAGCTTTTGTGTTCTAGACTCTCCCAAATCATTCATTTTTCTCTGTTTCATTTTCATTTGTTGGAGAGTTTATATTTTCAGGAAGACAAAGTTGGACAACACAACTGTTTTGGCAGAACATTCTAACCCCTGTTGGAGACTTCAATTATCAGCCATTGTTATATAAAAGAAACCATTATGTTTTATGATTGAGAAACCAAAAGCAGAATTTAAGGACAGAGAAATGACTAAGATTTTTATCTGTAACTCTGGCTATATTAGAAGCTATACTATCATTTATACTCTGGCTATACAGGCCATCTAAAAACCCCTTAAAAATACTCAATTTATCAATCTACCCCTTTACATGATTCAATCCAATATAAAGCCAGACCTAATACACTGAGATAAAAAGATCCCTCTCTTTTCTTTCCCATCTTGTACAAGAGATAAGTAAAAATGTATTTATCTCCTTTTTGTTGATGTAAGCTTGAAACTATTTAGAGGATGCCAAATGACCAAAAAAAAAAAAAAAAGGGTTTTAAACAGAATTTATAATGAATAAAAGGTGTTATACTATAAAGGCAGGATGATAAAATTTTGGCACGAAGTTCACTGTTCAAAGTACGTATTGGTAAGAAATGCATGTGGATGCAGACAGGTGGAAGGAGAAGGAAAATGATAGAGGGATAATGGGTGGAGAAAGCAAATGAAGAGACAGCAAACTGGGAAGCAGATGAATACACGTGGCTAATTGACTCGGTATTTCTTAACCAAATTCCTTACCTAATCAGAACAATAACAACGGGGGGGGGGGGGGGGGGG